TCAAACCCTCTCCAAAGCCCTGCCAGCCAGGCAGGCCTTGCAGGGCCTCCTGAAGATCTGCAGCAAGGGGGGTCCCCCTACCCCCCCCGGGAGCCCCTTCCACAGAGCCACCATGGGCAAGACCCCGGCTCTGGCCAGTGCCCAGACAGGCTACCGCAAGTGGTGGGATAGCCGGCAGATGGCTTCCTGAGGACGATAGTTGGTGCGCAGGGACATCTGGAAGGAGACAGTCTTTCACATGTGTGGTTCTCAGGTCGTGAAGGGCATTGGCAATAACTCTGCCGCTCTCAGCTACTTGCTTGCCCCCCTGCCCCCCCCCCCCCCGGCCGGGCCTGAGTTTCTCCACAGAACCCACTCCTGTGTCTCCTCCTCCTCTCTCCTTGGGCACTCCAAAAGCCACATTCGCAAGTTCCACGTGGCAGCCACTCGATGCCTCGCCACGCAGCCTCTGAGCCCAGCACCCTCGCCTGCCTGACGCACTTTGCCTCTTACCCTTGGCAGGCGAGACGGTGTCCATTCCCGGGCTGGAGAAGGCCCTGCACCAGTACACCCTGGAGCCCTCGGAGAAGCCTTTCGACACGAAGTCCGTGCCGCTAGCCACCGCCCCCATCTTCGAGCAGAAAACAGGTGAGGGGGCCAAGTCGGAGGAAGTCGAGCCATTCTGCCGGGAGGAGGTTCCCCCCCCCCCCCCTCCCCACAGGCCCTTGTATGCCCTGTGCCATCTAGGTGGGAAGTCGGCATGGCGTTCCCTGCGAGCAAGGCGCAGCTGCCTTGATCGGGTCAGGTGGGTCGAGGTCAGTCTCGTCTGCTCTGGCCAGCAGCTGCTCTCCCGGGTCTCTGGTAGAGTTCTTTCATTTTAGAATCATAGAATGTTAGAGCTGGAAGGGACCTTGCAGGTCACCTAGTCCAACCCCCTCCACTCTGCAGGAGCACAGCCGAAAGAGAGCCCTACCTACCTACAACATACCTGAAAAAGGGTTGCCCAGCCTCCACTTATTTATTTAAAGCCTTGCAGTGCCGCCTTTCTACCAAATCAGGAAGAGCCTCTGCTTGGCATGCAGAAGGTCCCAGGTTCAATCCCCGGCATCTCCAGTTAAAAAGGACCAGGCAGGAGGGGATGGGAAAGACCTGCCTGAGATACAGGACAGCTGTGTAGAGGGGCTGTGGCTCAGTGGAAGAGCCTCTGCTTGGCATGCAGAAGGTCCCAGGTTCAATCCCCAGCATCTCCAGTTAAAAAGGACCAGGCAGGAGGTGATGGGAAAGACCTCCGCCTGAGACCCTGAAGAGCTGCAAAGAGGGCCCGTGGCTCAGTGGTAGAGCTTGTTAGGCATGCAGAAGGTCCCAGGTTCAATCCCCAGCATCTCCAGTTAAAAAGGACCAGGCAGGAGGTGATGGGAAAGACCTCTCTGCCTGGGACCCTGGAGAGCCACTGCCACTCTGAGCAGACAATTACAGACCTAGATGGGACCGATGGTCTGACTCAGAATCAGGCACCTCGATGGGACTCTTCTCGCTCCCGGTTTTTAGGGGTCTTTAAGGATCCATGTAGAGACACCCACCTTTCCCAGCCTCCCAACGGGGGTGGGGAGATGAGCAGACCGTGTTGGTGGCCACTTTTCCTTGCCTTTTGGGCCACGGGGGGTGGGGGGTGGGGGGGAGAGTGTGAGGAACAGCAGTAGCCTGTGCCCTGCCTCTCTTGAGTCTCAGTTCTCACTGTGGACCAGAAGGAAGGGAAGCAAATGTCAGAAGGCAAGAGGAATTAAGCCCTGACCTGGATATAGCCTAGGCAAGCCGGATCTCATCAGATCTCGGGAGCTAAGCCGGGCCGTCCCTGGAAAGTACTTGGATGGGAGACCTCCAAGGAATACCAGGGCCGGGAGGGGGGGCACCCAATAGCAGGCCACCTCTCCAAACGTCCAAGCCCCACTAGAAGAAGAAGAGGAGGAGGAGATTGGATTGATACCCCCCGTCCTTCACTTGGAGTCTCAGAGTGGCTGACAAACGCCTTTCTCTTCCCCTCCCCACAACAGACACCCTGGGAGGCGGGTGGGGCTGAGAGAGCTCTGACAGAAACGGCTCTTTTTCAAGGACAGCTGTGCCAGAGCTTGTGACTGACCCAAGGTCACATCAGCAGGTGCAAGTGGAGGAGTGGGGAATCAAACCCGGTTCTCCCAGATTAGAGTCCGTGCACTTAACCCCCACACCAAACTGGCTCTCACCACAAGTCACCCATGAAGTTGTCACCAGAAGTTGTCACCAGAAGTCAGCCATGACTTCCAGGCACACACGCACAGACACACATACCAAAAGGGAAGAGGAATTGCGGTGCGCTGAGGTTGGTGGTGCCTCCCTGCCCAGGAGTCTGACCATGGGCGAGTTACAGTCTCCCTGAGCCTACCTCCCAGGGTGGTTGTGAGGATAAAAGGGTGGTGGGTAAAATCCTCCGTGCTGCCGTGGTCTGCTTGGAGAAGGAAGGGCAGGATGACTCTGTTTCAGACGCACGGGTTCTGGACACCCCGATCAGCAACTCAACGCCCACGTCTGCTTCTTTTCAGAAATCTCTCTGGTGGCCAGCAAGCCAGAGAAAGTGGCTCCTTCGCGGCAGGACATATTCCAAGGTACCTGACCCCCCCCCCCCCGCACCCCCCGGCACTGTGTCCCAATTGCTTGGGAGAGCAGCCGGACGTTCAGTGGGGATGATGCTGGGGTGGGAGGGGCGGGACTTCCTGTGCCCCCCGCCTGCACGGTGACGTGAGCCCCGCCTCTTCCCATCTAGAGCAACTGGCCGCCATCCCAGAGTTCAAGAACTTGGGCCCGCTCTTCAAGTCGTCCGAGCCCGTGCAGCTGACCGAGGCTGAGACGGAATACTTCGTCCGCTGTATCAAGCACGTCTTCTCGAACCACATCGTCTTCCAGGTAAAGCAAGCCCTGGGATCGTTGCCAGAACGAGGGAGACACCAGCCGAAGCGAGTCAAAACCAGTCCGTGTGACGTGGCCCGCTACGGTGTCATTCCTCGAAAGGTTCTCTCTCGCCTCCTTACATAGGCCAGTGCATGCCATTCGCTGCCAGTGGATGCAACACAGATGGCTTTTTAAAGGGGGCGAGATTCATCGGGGATTATCTCCATCAGTGGCTGCTAGCCATAGTGACTAAAGTGAGCCATTATGTCCCCAGGCAGTTTCAAGGTAGGTACCTAAGAACATAAGAAAAGCCAATGTTGGATCTGGCCAATGGTCCCTCCAGTTCAACACTCTGTCACACAGTGGTCAAAACCCAGGGGCCATCAGGAGGTCCACCAGCTGGGCCAGAACTCCAGAAGCCCTCCTGCTCTTGCCCCCCCCCCAGCACCAAGGATACAGAGCATCCCTTGCCCCGGACATAAGAACATAAGAGAGAAGCCAATGTTGCATCAGGCCAGTGGCCCGTCCAGTCCAACACTCTGTGTCACACAGTGGCCAGAAATACCAGGTGCCCTCAGGAGGTCCAGCAGTGGGGCCAGGACACCAGAAGCCCTCCCACTGTTGACCCCCCC